TAATCCGGAGGAAAGAGGGGGAAAAATCACAAACCTTTTGAAGGATTTCTTTATGAAAAAGTTCGCCAAGATCTGAGAATTCTTCTCTGAAATTCATGGTTTACTGCTCAATCTGACAGCACCTCGCCCTCAGATTTCAGATTCTCTCTAATGAAGACCCTAGGCTTCTATTTATAGGCTTTTGTCACCGTGTTTTCTGATAAGATCAAGTTTTTTGATGTCATCTGTAGTTGATAACCGCCTAGGTTCACTTAAGGATAGCTTCCGAAAAGTTTGGGAGGTCCTGGGATGAAAGAATTATAATAAAACATCGAAATTTGTGTTTTGGGAAGTTTGGGAGGCCAAAATAGTCGTGGTGGCTCGCATGGGTGCGAGCCACCATTTGGTGGCCCGCATGGGTGCGAGCCACCAATTGGTGACTCGCGCCTACACAGGCCTCCGAGTGGTGTTTCGTTCATTTAAATGGTGGCTCGCACGCACGCGAACCACCTGGACTTTTGTCATGTCTTTTTGACTCTTTTAGCTATTCGTATCTCCTTTGTTTCGCTTGGTTTCCCCCTTTACACGCGTTTTGTTATTTCCTTGACTTATGTGCTTCGTTTTATGGTTTATCGGTGTCGGACAATCTTCGTTAATTCGGATAATGACGTTCATCGTTTTCTCTCCGTCTTGAACCGTGTTCGAGGACCTATAGGCAATTTTTAACGCCTACAATAACTACCTGTACAAGTTTATTTCAAAACTCCTTGCTAATAGGCTGCAATCTGTCATTGGCTTTATAATTTGTGAAGCTCAATGTGCCTTCGTCAAAGGTAGGAAAATTAACAACAATATTTTGTTAGCACGTGTATTGGTGAAGAATTATGGCAGAAAACACTTAACTCCAAGGTCTATGATCAACATTGATATAAGAAAAGCCTTTGACATAATTAGCTGGTCTTTTCTAGAAAGCATGCTCAAAGGTTTGGGGTTCTCAGCAGTATTCATTAAATGGATTATGACATGTATTTCATCCACTAAATTTTCTATATCCATGAATGGTTCTCTCCATGGGTATTTCAAGGGTGCTAGGGGTTTAAGACAAGGGGACCCTTTATCTCCATATTTGTTCATTATTGGCATGGAGTATCTTACTAGGAATATGAATTTGCTAAAGAATGACAGAGATTTCAAATTTCATCCTTTGTGTGGGAAGTTGAAAATCACACACCTTGCTTTTGCTGATGATCTTCTTCTATTCAGTAGAGGAGACGTGTACTCTATTCAAAAACTATATCAGTGAGTGAAGGATTTTGGTGCAAATCTGGATTGGAAGCCAATCCTTCAAAATGTGCTATTTTCTATGGTGGCATTGAAGAAGCTGTTAAAGCATTTATCAGCAATAGCTTAGGATTTCATGAGGGTTCCCTGCCAATTAAGTACCTTCGTGTACCTTTAATATACAAGAGGCTCTCCTATGTTGATTGCACTCCCCTATTTAAGAAGATTACTAGTCAATTTCAGTCCTGGCTGAAAAATCAGAAACAGACTTTTGTTGGTATACTTCAAGTCATTAAAAGTGTGGTGTTGGGGATTCAATTATATGGGACTTCTAATTACATTTTACCATCTAAAGTTCTCCAAAAAATAGATGATTTATGCAGATATTTCTTATAGGGTAAAACTGACTAGGTTTACAAATCTCCCCTAGTTGCTTGAGACAAAATCTGTAAGGAGAAGAAGTGTGGTGGCTAGGGAATTTTTTCTACAAAAACTTGGAACATGGCCTCAGCTCTAAAAACCATTTGGTATATAAATGTTAACAAAGAATGGTTGTATTAAGTGGGTACATGGAAAATATCTGAAAAATACAACAATCTGGCATGTTAACATGAAAGTTGGAGATTCTTGGATGTGGAAACAATTGCTCAAAGCCAGAGATAAAGAAGTTATTATCTGTGGAGGCATAGAAAATCTGAAGAATTGCATCAGTTCATGTTGCAAAAATTCAAAAATTCAGCTGTCAGAGCTGTATTCAGCCATATCTCTAGTTTCAAGCAACGTAAACTGGTATTTGACAGTCTGGGACTCCTTGATTTATCCTAAACATAGCTTTATTTTGTGGTTATCAGTTCTAAACAGGCTGTTAACCAGGGATAAGCTACTTAGGAGGGATGTTATTCAGTCAAGCCACTGCTGTTTATGTTCAGGCACTGCACAGGAAATAAGAAATCATCTTTTCTTTGATCGTCTCTTCTCTAATGAGGTGTGGAATAACATCATGGATTGGCTCTAATTTAGATGGAGGGCTTGTGATTGGAATGTATACTATTGGATTAGTATAATTGTAGACGGCAAAATGGCCAGATTGGTATATTTTCTAGGGTCTTGGTGACAAGTTGGTATATTTATTTTAAGTTTTGTCATATTGGTATAAAATTTTAACTCCGGCGCCATATAAGCCTTAAGTTTGGCCGGAGTCAATTTTCCGGCCATTATTCTCACGCGACAGCTCACGTGACTCCGACGTGGCCTTTACGTGGATTCCAGCGTGGCGATATTTAGCGGGAATAAGTGAGCGGTTTGCGTGGCCTTTACGTGGATTCCAGCGTGGCGATATTTAGCGGGAATAAGTGAGCGGTTTGCCTAGAAAATCACAGAAGAGCAGTAATTCAATCCCATTCTTTAATTTCCCTCTCTTCCCTAATTACAGAAGAAAATCGTAGAACCCTAGAGCGTAACGATTCCCAAATTACAGACGATCGAAGTTCAAGGCTTCCATCTACTTCATCTTCTTTGGCGCGGAGCAAAAGGTGAGTGGAAATTTCATATTTTTGAAACTAATACATGGAAATTTGACGGGTTTATTGTAAATTAGGGTTTTTTTGATGGGTTTAGTGAGGAGTTAGGGTTTTTATTGTGATATTGCAGATGAGTCTCCAAATATTGGTTAAAATCAGACATGGAGGAAGTTTTCCGATGGGCTGGGTTGAAGATTATGTTGGTGGTAGATTTGATGTTAGGTTTATAGACAAAGAGGATCTGAGCATAGAAAGACTGATGGATGAAATTAGTGCAATTGGGTATAACAATGTCAACGGCTTGTTCTACTGTGTTCCTGGTGTAGGGGTTGCAAATGGTGGATTAAGGTCTCTAAGTGATGAATGTTCCTTCATTGAAATGCTAGAACATGCAGAAAGGGTGAAGGCAATTGAAATCTATGTTGAACATGGCATTGATCAACCTGCAGAAGTTATTATGGAAGATTGTGATGTGCTGTTGTTGGAAGGTGTGCAAGAAGATATGCAAATGCCAAAAGCGACCACTCCTAAAAAGAAGGTGACAGTAGCAGGACCCAGGAGATCAACACCCAGGAGAGCCACTGCTAGTGCCAATGAGAAGGTGACAGTAGCAGGACCCAGGAGATCAACACCCAGGAGAGCCACTGCTAGTGCCAATGAGAAACAAACACCCCAGAAAGCAACATGCAAGAGGAAGGTAACATATCCTTCAACCTCCAGGAAGAAACTAACACCCAGGAGGGCAACCAAGTTGTCAACCTCCAGTGAAACCCTGCCACAACAAGAAGCATTATTTTCAGCCTCTTTAGATGATCAGTGTAGTGCACAACAGCAGGCAAGTCCATCTAGTGATAGTGACGACTCTGTGGAGGATGAGAATTACAGAATGGATCCTAGGGAGGCATTTGCAGATGATGACTTTGATGAAGATGAACTATTTGATGAGTTTAGCAATAATGGCAAAGGGAAAAAAAGAAGAATGTGCAAAAGAAATAGGATGACAGTGCCTACAGTGAATGTGGAGGGCAATGATAGTGTGCCTGAACCAAATAATGAACCTAGGGAGCCAGTGAATGTGGAGGGCAATGAGAGTGTGCTTGAACCAGGCCAGGAAGATAGGGAGGCAGTGAATGAGGTTCACGGTGCTCACAGTGATGATTCCTTTCAAGCTGCTATATGTAGTGAAGACGAGGAACTGAATGAGATTAGGCAATGCAATAAGGAGAATCTAAGTCAAGAGATGAGCCACATTGCTTTAAACTCTGGTGCTAAACTGGGAGATGGTGTTGATGCAGGTAACTCCTTTCAATTTAACACTGTCAGACTCCCTCGAGTGGTTAATGCTAATGTACCAACATCACCCCATGAAGGAGTGCATTCAAGAGCTGACAACACAGTTGATGAACCTGGGCCATCAACCACTGAACCACAACAACAGTCATGGCCAGAATTTTTTACAAATTATGATGGTGGATATGAATCAGATCCTAGATCAAGTGGTGTTGAAGGTCCCATAATGGCAAGTGATGAGGATGAAACTCTTGTCCAAAGTTTACAAAAAAGGGCATCAAAGGTCAAGTATCCATTTTTTAATGAAGAAGTTGACATGAAAAATGTTAAATTGACAGTAGGATTGAAGTTCACGTCAAGGGAAATATTAAAAGAAGCAATATTGAATTACTCCATACAACAACACTATGACATTGTTTATGGAAAAAATGATAAGAGGCAGTTGAATGTGAATTGGTCACTCTGTCATTGGCAGCTAAATGCTACACCATGTCGTGATGATGCTAGTGCTTGGAAAATCAATTGTATGCACCCTTATCATACTTGTGTCAGGACATTCAAGAATAGGCTAATCACTGAAGGTTGGCTTGCAGGAAAATTTATTGACAACTTTCTGAGGGATCCTAAGTTCAAGCCCAGAGACATGAAAGCAGAAATGCAAAAACAATATGAGATCATAGTGGATTTAAGGAAATGTAGGAGGGCAAAGAGTAGGGCTTTGAATGCAATAGATGGTTTGTTTAAGAAGCAATATGGCTTGTTAAAGCCATACATGAGAGAGCTCTTAAGGAGTAATGATGGAAGTACATGCATTCTGAAGGTCACAGATCAAAGTGACTCATCAGAATCAGGAGTCTTTCAAAGATTCTACGTGTGCTTTGCAGGTAAAGTAAATGTGTTTGTTAGAAAATTTTGAAGTTTTATCAAAGCTTGTATGTGCAGGTTTTTTAGGCCATACTGAATTCATTCTTGTGTTCTCAGCCATGAAAAGGGGGTTCGCCAACAATTGTAGACCTATATTTGGACTTGATGGGTGCTTTCTTAAACATGCATGTGGTGGGCAATTGTTAAGTGCCGTGGGGAGAGACGGCAATAATCAGATGTGGCCAATTGCGTGGGCTGTTGTGGAGGCTGAAACAAGGAGCTCTTGGGAATGGTTTATGAGAATCTTATCCAATGATCTCAACATGGGAGAGGAAGAGGGATTGACAGTAATTTCAGACCAACAAAAGGTAAGGATCAATTTCATGTCATATTCAGTTTAATCTCTATCTGGGCTACATATTTACATATTTGAGTATGTTTTTTTGTTTAATCAGGGTTTAGTTCCAGCTATACATGAAGTTTGGCCCCAAGTGGAGCATAGGCAATGTGCAAGACACATTTATTCCAATTGGAGGAAAGCACATACTGGAAGAACTCTTCAAAAATAATTTTTGTATTGTGTGAAGGCAACCTCCATGGGGGGTTTTGCAAGAGAAGCTGGCAAACTCAAGGATTACTCTCAAAGGGCATATAACGACTTCATGGCAAGGGATCCTCACACCTTATGTAAGTCCCATTTTAAATGTCATAGCCAATGTGACAGTGTCGACAACAATATGTCCGAAACCTTCAACTCATTCATCCTTCTTGCAAGATACAAGCCAATAATTTCTATGCTAGAAGACATTAGACTTGCCATGATGGATAGGATGCAGTTAAAAAGGAAGTTGATTACACAATTTGTGGGTGGGATTGCACCTAGGATAAGCAAGAAAATCAAAGAGGGATATCAAGAACAATTGCACTGTCAAACACGTTGGTCGGGAACAAATGACTACAGTGGATTTGAGATACATCACAGAGGGATTGGCCATGAGGTTAACTTGGGTGAAAATACCTGTTCTTGTAGGGTTTGGGACTTGACTGGAATTCCATGTTGTCATGCCATTAGTGCAATATTGTTCATGAGAAAGAATCCAGGAGATTTTGTTGCTCATTGGTACAAAAGTGAAGCTTACAAAAATGCTTATGAGAGCTTGTTAAACCCTGTGCAAGGTACCAAATTTTGGGACCTTCAACAGGAGGGATCTGTGTTGCCTCCTCACAGTATTAGGAAGCCAATGGGGAGGCCCAAACATGCTAGAAGGAGGGACCCTTCAGAAGGTCCAAGAAATCAATTTAAGGCATCAAGGCAAGGTGTGCAAGGACGATGCACCCATTGTGAATCAAGTGAACATACACGGAGAAAGTGCCCTACTGCACCACCAAGGCAACAAGCTACACAAGTAAGCTTTTTTTTTTTTTGCAGCTGTATTTTGTGTTCATTAAACAACTTAAGCCTTACCTGATCCATCTTGAAGGAATCACAAGGAACAAGAGTTGATGAAGGACCATCTCAAGTGAGGAAAAAGGGGAGACCAAAGGGAAGCCTGAACAGAATAAGAGTTGATGACTTGCCTCCAAGCAATGCTCCAACGCCAGCATCCATTATCCTTGGCAGAAGAAGCAAAGCTCCAACAACCAGCACTGAGGCAGGAAGAGGTAGAGGAGGGAGAGGGAGAGGGAGAGGAAGAGGAAGAGGTAGAGGGAGAGGTGGTGCTGGTCAATTATGGATGCCAGAAGGGTTTGGTTTGTGGCAAGGACCACAAGGAGAAATGGCATTTAGAGCACCTGGTGATAGTCAAGTAAATGTGATACATTTGACACCTAATGCTCCATCCTCACAGACTGCACCCTCTCAGGAATGAGAGTGTAATTAACTGCAGTAGATAACCAGCTTCTGAGATATTTTGGGACAAAGTTGTTCATGTATGGTTAATGTTATTTTGGCACAAAGTTGTTACTGTCTGGTTATTGTATTTTGGGAACAAAGTTGGTTAAAGTTCTGTTTAGTATTTTGTGTTATGTTATGTGATAAAGTTGTTACTGTCTGGTTATTGTATTTTGGGAACAAAGTTGGTTAAAGTTCTGTTTAGTATTTTGTGTTATGTTATGTGATAAAGTTGTTACTGTCTGGTTATTGTATTTTGGGAACAAAGATGGTTAAAGTTCTGTTTAGTATTTTGGGAACAAAGTTGTTATTGTATAGTGTGTTGATCAGTTCTATCTGGGCATGTTCTATTTAGTATTTTGTGTTATGTTATGTGATAAAGTCCTGTAACTTACATGCACTTGGTATTTTGTGTTTTGTTGTGTGTCACAGTAGTTTCCAAGCAATGTTCTACCTAATACATTTGGTATTCTGGATGTTCATTTGTTTGGCATGTTTAAAGTTTATATGTCTACTTCATGCCAATCCCTTTATTGACATCATTGAACCAGGTCATGTGCAATATGGGTCCAACAGGTACAATTTAATTCATGTCATTGAACCAGGTCATGTACATTTGGTTATACAAGTCATTGCACCAGTTCATGTGCATTCATGCCTGTATATAACAATCAAGAAAGTTCATTTATTCATGCACAATCAACAACACACATTAGGAGTTCAATTTACCAATCTGTCAAAATACTGTGCTTTATTCACATCAGCATCCACTTTCACATTACAACCATCTTCACATTACAACATACAGAATTAAACAGAGTGTAAACATACAGAATAACAAAATAAACTTAATAATCCTTTTTTCTTTTGCAACATTTTCCTGCAATTCTAATCTTTCTTTCATCATTTTCTGCACTTCTTCCAAACAAGAAGCAGCCTCGTGTTGAGACAATTCGACATCCTCTTTAAGCTTGTAAATTTCCTCATTGCATCCTCTTAGCTAATTTTCACACCTTTGAAGTAACTCCTCCTTCAACAGCAACGTATTCCTCAAATCATTGATCTCCTCTCTTAGAAGTGGAAACAATTGACATCCAACACTACACATTGGTTTGTCAATCCATTCCCAAATGCCACAACCACCAGCCTATCATTACTCAAAAATCAAGGAGACTATTATCAAGTGAGATGCGCAAAAAATTCCAACTTCTAAGTAAAAACTGCAGTTGATTACTGCAACAAATGCAACAAATGAGGAAGTAAATTTAACTTACATGCTGATTGCGACATTTGTAGAACCTCCGTCCTGGATTTTCATCAGTCATAGAAGTAAAATATTTGCACTCCAAACCACAATTACAAACCTTCACCCCAGATTGCTTTGCTAGATCATTCCACTGTCGTATAGCTTTTATTCCATTGAACCCTTGCCTGCTTCTTCCAATGCTCATGCTTGACACTGATCTTGAGCGACAGCTTGAAGATGACGAATCCATCACTAATTTAACTCCCACTGAACCTAACCCTAACCCTAGGAGGAAGAATAAGATGGAGTAAGAAGAAGAAGATGGAGTAAGAAGGAGGAGGAAGAAGAAGATGGAAGCCTTAATCGGAGATATAAACCCCCCTTTTGTCAAAATTTATTCATCCCAACCACCTGCCACGCTGGAATCCACGTAAAGGCCACGTTAGAGTCACGTGAGCTGTTGCGTGAGAATAATGGCCGGAAAATTGACTCCGGCCAAACTTAAGGCCTATATGGCGCCGGAGTTGAAATTTTATACCAATATGACAAAACTTAAAAAAAATATACCAACTTGTCACCAAGACCCTAGAAAATATACCAATCTGGCCATTTTGCCAATTGTAGACTGAAAGGGAAAGGATTTAAACAAAGTCTAAAGAGATTGGCTCTTGCGAATACAGTTTACAGAATATGGAGGGAGAGAAATGATAGGATTTTCAACTTGAAGACTAAGAGTATTGATCAGCTTACTAAGGAGATAAAATTAGACGTTATGATCATGGTCCTTAACAGTCCAATTTCAGAGGGAAATAAACAGTGGTTTTTGTTGTTGTAGCTGCTTTGATTCCTTGTTTTCATGTTTCAGTTTTTTTTCCTAGTTCATTACTGAACAGTATATCATGATGTACTTACACGCCAAATTTGGTTGATGAATAAAAAAGTTCTTCGTTGACAAAAAATAATAATCTACTGATATGCACTATGACTGTAAATATTCCATTTCACGTATAATGCTGTACTAATCTTATATACAGGAAAGTTATTAGAAATGATTCTCCTTTAAGATACTCTTTTGAAACGGAATATTGCAAATTGGTTATTTTAATTTAGTCTTTAAAGAAACCATTTCTTGGAGAAAACTCCATGAAGTAATCAACTGCATTTGTATGCTAGCTGGTTAGCTGGGTTGCATGGATCAAGACGTCATGAGGATAATTAAACTAATTTATCTTCTATATGCAACTTGAAAGTTCAGGTCAAAGGGATCGAATGTTAAGCATTCACTTTCATCCATCTATTTGTAGAAAGGAGAAACCAATCACAGGGTTCCAAGTTTTGCTTTGTGAAAATTGCATATTGGATTCAAAAAATATCATTAATGTTAACATCCCTATCCGAAGATGGAAATTCAAGTGGGGGACTCGGAGATACTTCACTGATTCATGTCATGACTGGTGGTTAAATGACTTAAAAGCTGGGGTGCAAATGGTTGGGATGCAGCTCGTACATACATATTAATAAACATGATCATGTCAAACCGATAAGATAATCAGATAATATTAAAAAATAAAGTTCATATGGTATAAGAGAGTTCATTAATATGTCCGTTATATTTGTAAAAGCTAGAACTAAATCTCTCGATTATAAAATTTTACCTCAAATCATTAATCTGACGATTAAAACTATTCCACTTATGTAATCAACATATATCACTCAATTACAAATCCATATCCTTCACAATTCAGTAATTTTGAGTAATTTTGATACTGGAATAAATTGCCTTTTGTATGAACAAATTGAGTAATTTTGAGTAATTTTGATACTGGAACAAATTGAGTAATTTTGATACTGGAATAAATTGAATACTGGAATAAATTGCAGAAGAAATTATGGCTGGAACAAATTGCCTGGAACAAATTACATAAAGTGTGATATACAATAAGGGCCTGGAACAAATTCAGTAATTTTGAGTAATTTTGATACTGGAATAAATTGCCTTTTGTATGAACAAATTGAGTAATTTTGAGTAATTTTGATACTGGAACAAATTGAGTAATTTTGATACTGGAATAAATTGAATACTGGAATAAATTGCAGAAGAAATTATGGCTGGAACAAATTGCCTGGAACAAATTACATAAAGTGTGATATACAATAAGGGCCTGGAACAAATTCAGTAATTTTGAGTAATTTTGATACTGGAATAAATTGCCTTTTGTATGAACAAATTGAGTAATTTTGAGTAATTTTGATACTGGAACAAATTGAGTAATTTTGATACTGGAATAAATTGAATACTGGAATAAATTGCAGAAGAAATTATGGCTGGAACAAATTGCCTGGAACAAATTACATAAAGTGTGATATACAATAAGGGCCTGGAACAAATTCAGTAATTTTGAGTAATTTTGATACTGGAATAAATTGCCTTT